TTATGTTAAGAGATAATTTTTATGTTGATAATTTGATTAAGTGATTCTCCTACAGAATTGTTATACTTATATAAAGAATCCATGAAAAAAACAATAGATGGAAGTTTTGAATTGTGTCCATGTAACTCAAATTGCAAGGAATTAAAGACATGTCAAGATGATAAAAAAAATTGTAGTCGGTGGTGGAACATAGGGAGGGCAGAGAGGGGCAGCCGCTCCAGGGTGCACCATCATAGGGTGCAAAATCACCAGGTGATTAGCAAGCATTAGGAGTGAATTGCAAACGAAATGTTCCACTTCCAATATTTTCAGAAAAAATATCTGTAAAAAATCTCACCTAACTAGACCCAATCTAACCAAACTTATTTAGATGTGGTGAAAAATTAGGACCATGTTAGGTTAGGTTATGGTAGTTCAAGTTTTAATATATTTATCAGTGAAAATGTTGGAAAATTAATTAAAAAATTTTTATTAACTTTAATATACTTTTATTTACCTTAATATCCTTTTTGCAACTGTCTGCAGATACTTATTTCATTAACAGTGCATCAGGAATTCTTTTGGCAATGGTGTTCAATAATTCTTTGATCATGCGCAGTGCGGATGGAAGTACATGCCAGTCAAAATGTGTTAAAGAAACAACAAAAAGTTTTGTTTAATTCTGTTTTCTTCAGTTGAGACCAGATTGAAAACTAATCCATATTAATGTTTTAAGATGTATTCCTGGGATGGTGAACCCAGTGTTTCTTTTTAAAATGATAATAATGGCAATTTTTCTCCTCAACTCAATTGGTAGATCATAGCATTTCAAGGAATATATTACAGAATTAGATATAATGGTTTTATATTGTCACTCTCTGTTGGATATAATGTGCCATATATTCCATTTCTGGGGTTTTGATGCAAGTTTTATGGCACAATGGCAAAAGCTTTGCAGGATGATTTTGTCACTTTCACTGCAATAATAATATTATATGATTATACTATGCCAAGAAACTCAATTTATTACAAAAAACCATGCATGCCTGCTGAGCATATAGGGAAAATGCTTTATTGCAATGTATATATGTATTTGGCTGTTAAGTTAGGATAGATTCTGATATTGACCCCTTTTGTTTATTTCACTCTTCATGGTGGTGTTGTTACAGTTTTATTTATGGTGGAACAGTGTCATGGTGTTATCACACTAAGGTTCTATGGTGCTATTATTCACTTCACAATAAACACCCGTATGTGACAAACTAGCCTAACAATCTTTATATAACTGAGAAGGACAGCTATACTTTTATTTTATTTTTATTTCAGGCAGAAATTTTAAGAATTAAGCAACATAGGCAACAAAAGAAAGAATCTGGTGTGGAAGGAAAAAGGAAAAGAGAATGCGAAGATCTACAGAAATCCAGTCAAGTTATAAAGTTCCTAAAAAAGCCACATCCAGATAGAGGAGATGGTGACAATCACATTATTCCCCCACTTGTTCTTGCCACTGGCTCTGACTACACAGACACAGCTCCAGGGTCAGTGGAGCAATCATCAACTTCACCAGTGCTGCCAGTACAAACAACACCACCACCACTGCCTCTACCACTGAAGGCAAAGCAAATGGTTTTATTGGATGCTTCTGATCAGCCTTCATCTTCATTTCATTGCTAATCTAATGAACATGCATAATATGATGAAAGTAAATATGCAGTATTAACCAAGAAAGATGTAGGTTGTTTAAAGTTTGATGTAAATTGCAATAAACCACAAATTTCTGATGATCTACACGTACAAATGGTTAAGATGGGTTCTAAAGCTTTTCAGAACAAAAATGGCCCTTTCAAAGTTATAAAAGATCAGGAAGTTATTGAAAGCTGATGTGTCAAAGAAGCAATGAGTAAAACAAGCACAAAACATGTAGGTGTCAACTGCAGCTTCACGAATTACTGGCTTCAAAGAAAACTACAGGATAAGTCTATGTTTCCGCGTAATTGGTTGTTGTATTCTATTGAAAATGATGCTGTTTATTGTTTTCAATAGCCCCAGTCAACCAAATCATGGTATTTGAAAAATCTTGTGGATTTCGAAAATGGAAAAAATGAAACAAAAGAATACCAGAACATGAACAGGAGACTCATCACCGTGCGTCATTTCTGACATCGAAAGACTTTGAGAGACACATATCAGAAGGGTCTATGATTAACAGAGTATTACTGAAGCATATGGCGGAACAGAAGCAATTGTAGAAGGATCTGCTCATGTGTTTTGTGGCATCTGGTATTTTGTGGACACCAAGAAATCATTGCCTCAAGTAAATGCTACAACAATGGCTGGGGAGGTATCTGGTGTCCAGAAATGCATATCAGAGAGAAACCCAAAAGCAATTTTTGTAAATTGTGACAACCATTTTTGAACCTCATAGGATTGCATGCAGCAAACTTGTGTTTGCTCTATCATTTTTTGGAATTCTTCATTCATTGTACAATTTCTTTCTTCGGTTCAACAATGAAGTGGGAGAAATTGAAGGAAACAGTAAAGACAGCTGTAAAGCTGTGACCGGATACAAGAGGCTAAACGCAATGCTGCTCACGTTGTAAAAACGAAGTTGGATGAGATAGCTAGCTAAATTGTTGGAGGACATGGTAAGTGACACTCAGTATCAGTCAACAGAAAAAGCGACGCTGCTTGCTGCACAACATGTAAACTTTCAGCTTTCTAACTATGCTGCCATTCTGGGACAATATCCTGACTTCCATCAACTGAGTACAGAAAAGACTTCAGTGCCCTAGAATGAATTTCAATGACACTCAAACTGACATTCAAAGTCTGTGACAATTTGTTATAAGCAAATGGGAATCTCTCTGTAAAAATTCAATTGCAAAATATGAAGAAAAATGCTTAGAATGGGGTATTAACATTGGTCAACAGAGAGGGATGTGTCATAAAAAAACAATTACTGGATAGGAGACGAAACATAAGCCTCTAGATGTGAGAGAAGAAATGGATGTTACCTTGAAGGCAGTAATGGACAGGTTGAATACAGAACTGAAAGATCAATTTACAAGATTGAGTCAGTTACTCAAACAATTTGGGTCCCTCTTGGACATTAAAAGCCTCACTGACTCGAACCAAGACATGATAGAAAAATGCAAAGTAGCTACTGCATTAACAACATCTTGAAACCTTTATCATATGTTTGTATTAAGATAATTATTGCAGTTGATAGTGTTATCTTAGTTACTGTCCAATAACAAAAAACCAGAAACCAGTGTGTCAAGAATAGGTTAAAAGACATTAAAGTAGCCCTAGAAGAGTTAGATTCTAAACATGGGTTATCAGTAAATTTCAAATACATGCCTCCCTCAGAAAACCCTGCTGATTTAATTACTCAGAAATTGTTTCTTGAAAAGTTTAGACAAAACTTTAAATTTTGAACTTCTGGTCTTTCTTGGTTAAATAAGGATCCAGTACCTCGGCCTGAAAGTGGTCTACATTGTTTGAGTGATTGCAATAAGGTTATTAAAAACCAAGCATAATCACATTAGCTATGCCTTTAGAACCAATCAGGATTTTGTCCAACCTTTAGGCCATCCAAATAGGTTGAATTTTAAATTTAATTTGACTCCATGTAAGAGTCAAGGAGCTAAATTCACATTTTTCTTATACTAAACATTCTTTTTTTTAAAGTAAACATGCTCATTACTCTACAGTTAGTGGCCAAAATAGTTTGTGACTCATGTCATTGTACCTTTTGAAAAATGGTGCAGCTATTTTAATTACCCAAATAAACAGCCACAGCTCCAGTGTGCTAAGGTGTAATATATTCAAGAATCTGTGTAAAGTATAAGACTTTTTATTTGATAAAAAACCCTATGAAAAAGAATAGTTCAAACAAATGCTTGTGGTAACATTTAATTTATATGGGCACACAGACAGATGACACAAGCCAAGTTTAAAAACAGACAATAAATTCATTGTTATCTCACACATTTGTTTGAACTATTTTTTCATAGTATTTTTTTTTACCAAATAAAAATCCTATACTATTTCTGAAAAAGTGTCAGATTCCGTTTGAGTTTTTCATGTGATTTGTTTTTTTATTGGTCTTGTGCTCCACCACCCACTGCAGACTCCAATTTCTATTGGGAATTTACCAAGGAAACCTTTGTTGAGACAGGGATACATCAATCAGTATATTTGCATCATAAGAAAACTTTGTTAATTTTGTGCTTCAGTACCCAAAAAACTAATGTCTTAATATGAAACAGCGGTCAAAGTTTCACTTCTCAACTTGATTGACCCTCAGTCTCCACCTTCTAGCACTTTTAAAATAATGAATAGTTGTTAGATCATCATGTGATCAGTTTGTGAGATATTGTTGGGATTATATATATATATATATATATATTATAAATTAATTGATTTAAAATATGGTTAATTAATCAATTAATTTATAATATTAATGCTCTGTAAATTTACATTGAGCACTATTTTGTAAAAATAAAATATCTATAAGAACACCGGATTTTATATCTTACTGTTCTTTCTTTTTATTTATATACATATATATATATATATATATATATAGATACTAGGGCTTGACATGACCAGCTGATTGATCAGATTGGGCCTCTCCAACTATCCATCTAGATCAAATAAGGACTAAAGAGGTGTGTTGCCTGTCACCTGGGCCATGAACTGCTCAGCCACCAGGTTTCCATCCTCAGGCATTATGGGTGATCAGACATGGCAAACAGGTAGCCTCATTTGTGGGTGGTCTTACCTATAAGCAGATGTGCAGTTGGGATATTCTACAGCCCCAGCTGACAAGGTAAAAACCTGCTCTGAATATAGTAAATACTTAGAATATACAATCATGTAAAAATAAAAAAAAAATGTTTGCCAACATAAATTAATGAACAAATGAAACAGAAAACAAAAGTTTGGGACACATTTTGAAAATATAGATGAAGCAAATAATATTATTAAAATATGAAAATAAATCAATCTTAACTCACTTTTCTTCTGTTTTATTTCGGACTGAAGGAACAGGTCTTCGCTTAAGTCGATGCTGGGGAAAGGACGGCATCATATCTGGATCACAAGCTGTGCAAAAGAAATCAGCAGAATAATCATAAAATGCAAAAGCATTTTCAAAGTGAATATGCAAATTTGATATTATCACATATTGTAATTAACAAGCATTATTGGCATTCACAATTCAGGATACTTCAAAGTCATATCAAGCTTTATTTTAGTTAAAGAATTTTGATTGAGAAAAATTTCATTTACAATAGAATTTTTCTCCACATTAATCTTTGATTTTTAGCAATATCACACTGCTTCTAAAAAAAAAAAAAAAAACCCTCATCCCATAATGTAACATTTGGAATTTCCTTGGAATTTATGATTGTTTTCTTTATCAAGTGTCACTCTATACCACATTTGTTGCTCTCTATTTATTTCCAAACCAAAAAATATGGAAAAATTCACAATCAAAAATTTGTGAATTCATTAGTAAGAATAAATAAATATCTCATTGATTGACCAAGAGCAATAAAAGAAATGTAAACAAACTTTGGTGAGTATATTCAGAGAGGGAACATCTCAACCTGTTTAAACATTATGTTGAATAAATTTTAGCTGTTTTTCATAACTGATGATAAATAAATAAATGTTATTTTAAAAAAAGTGAGGATGATTTTTAATGACCCTCACTACTTACAAAGTTATAAATTTTCCATTATGATCAGAATAATATTAAGAAAACATGCCACACAAAAAGTCAAAATAAAATGAAAACTCACGATAAGGTTGTTCTTTAAAATAAGAACTATCGAGACAATCTTCAGCAGTGGCCCTGAAAACAAGTGAAATAGTAAAAAGCATTTTCTATTAAAAGATAAAAAAAAAAAAATTGACAGTTAACAAATTTTAACTGTGTTCAGTTAAAAAAAAAATTTAACTTTTTTGTTAAAACATAGGACAAAGGAAACTCCCCAAAATAGACTTGAAGATATTTTGATTAACATGAAGCATATTTTATTCTGTTAAAATTTTAATGTTTATACATAACATATAAGCTACTTCTATTAACTTTGAAAACTACAAAAAAAATATTTGTTTAGTGTTAAGTTTGTTTAGATTCATTTATTATTATCTGTCTATATTTCTGAGATGAAGTATTATGTACATTGTTTGGACTATTGTCCTCATCTTTGTTGCCATATTTATTACGTTTCAGCTGTTGTACATTCCGGCCTTCTTCAGGTGGTTGGAATGTCGAACTGAACCTTTTATTTCACTGAAAGGGGTAGACTGTTCTAGTTCCATGTGCCATGTCTAATGGATGTCAGTTATCAGTTATCTCCTGTTAATTCACCTCTCCAAGTTCTCCACTGCCTTAGCCATGACACATGACACAGAGGATAAAGGCATTTGTTAGATCCAGTGATGGGACCCAAAGAGTGTGAGTTCAATACCTGGCTAAGGCAGGGAAGAACTTTCAAGAGGGAAATTAACAGGAGATAACTGATAACTAACATCCATTAAACATGGCACATGGAACTAGAACAGTCTACCCCAGTGAGCAAAATAAAGGGTTCAGTTCGACATTCCAACCACCTGAAGAAGGACTAGGCATAAAACAGCCAAAACGTTGTAATAATTATGGCAACAAAGATGAGGACAATAGTCAGAATAATGTAAATAATGTCATTTATTATTATTAATAATAATATTGAATATTGATTAAGTGAAACTATTTTTAGTAATCTGTATTACATTTCATTTTCTTTATACATATCTACAACAAACCTTTCATATATTGCAATATTAGGACTTCAAATAGAGTTTGACCCTACAATAATAGCCCACAATCAACATAAATATTGGAGGTACACTCCAGATAAGCTTTCTGAATATTTATGCATATTTATGTTGTATAATTTGGATTGGCATGCAAATTTAAATTATATCTTCAAATTCATAATTCAATTTAAATTATAACTACAAATTTATAATACAATTGTCATGTTGAGATGACATTTTGAATTTTATGAAGAAAATTATCATTTAATATTGAACAAAAATAAAATTAAATTTTATGCAAAATTTTAATAATTGTTTTATATCATTAAAATTCCTTACAGATAACAGAACTTACCGTTTGTTTGGATCATACATAAAAAGAAAATTTAGTAGCCGAATCCCTGCTTCTGACAGCCACGGAAAAGTGTGTCTTAAATTATTATAACTGAAAAAGAAAAAAAAAACAGTGACTACAACAAGGAAAACTTAAAATGCAGACTTAAATATCTTTTATAATAGCTGATTACAATTTTGTAACATAATGACAGGGACAAGCTCATTGTTCTAGTCACTATTACAGAAGTGTGTGTGTCTTTCTGTGTCTTAAAGTCAAAAATCAGTGGTCACAGTATTTGATGCATGCATCTCTGTTACTTTAATGTTTTCTTCTATTCTATCATTTCTGGTGTAAATGTAGTGATATGGTTTGGAGAGTCCATGGTCAGTGGTCAGGAGAATCCTCTGTTCATATTATGTTTAGATAAAAGTCCCAAGCTCAGGGTAGAAATGTTACAAGCCCACACCAGTCATGTCACACAAAACCAAAATTCTCAGATTCCTGAGATTACTCAAAGAATTGAAATAATGATGATGAAAAGTGGAATATTTTAACAAAAGATGCTAGATGTTGTGACAAAACCTAGCATCTTTCTTTTCTCAGTTTCTGCTACACAGTAGTCTGAATCACTTCTTCCCAACTCTGCTGATGTTTGCTCATTTCCCCACTTAGCAAAAATTTGGGTGAAAAGTCTGTTTTTATACTGTGTTACCTGTGTCTCTCTCACATCTTTGATATCCCTTCTCTGACAGAATTGGCAGAACTCCGTAAACTAAACACCAGCTCATTATACTCTAAAAAAGATCATCAATGCTATCAGCATGTCTGAGATCAAAGCAATCTTCATTGATCAGCTGCAGTGTTGCAAATCTTGACGACTGGGAAGGGGTTGTACAATTACAAATAAATATATATCTTTTTAATATTTTGGCCAACCTAAGGACTATACCAATACACTGGCATTGTTTCTAATCAGTCAAAACTGATTAAAAATCCAACTAAAAGTTTCATTGCACATCAACTCACAGACAAGAGTCATATAAAACTTAAATATTTTTAAAGGGTATATTTCAATAAACTAATTTTATATTCTGCTTTGAAGATAAATATGAATCTATTGTTTTCACCTGGCATTCCTGAAAGTGATAAATGCAATATCTTATATAAAGGTAACCTGCAAATATCATTCAATGTGTTCAGTCATTATATATATATATATATATTACAATGAATCATTCATACAAAAAGTAAATTAGTTAATGATATAAAATAGTGAAATCTCTTCGCTAACAAAATTTTAAAAATGCATTAACCTACCAATCACTCAATGAATGTTATGATCCTTGTTTTTTAAAATTATAAGCTGTATAAAGTCTTTCATAAATACGCAAGTAATTTCAACTGTACATTAAATCATCTTCAGGCATGGAAATTATTTTGTTTTTGGTAAAATTCAGGTAGCATCCGAGATGAAAAAATGTTATTGACTCAAAAACTTATGTCAAGGGCACTTTCAGAATAAAGCATCCAGTTCAAGTTATGGTTTTTGGTGTTGTGGCCTCTGATAGGAAAAAATGCCTATCAAATTTTACAAACCTGGTGAAAAAGTTAATGCTGATGCAAGAGTGAGATAAAATGTATTATTACCATGGCTCAAAGCAAACTACCCAGAGAGAAACTATGTATGGACTCAGGATGGTTCTCCTACACATACAGTCAAAAAAGTACAGAATTTCTGCAAATCAAATTTTGCCGATTTTTGACCATCACACTTCTGGCCTCTTCCAGCCCAGATCTCAACCCTCTAGATTATGCTATTTGGAGCATTCTAGAACATGCTACTAATAGAACCTCTCATCCAAATGTTAACTCTCTTATGGATACCATTGGAGAAGAGTGGGACAAGATGTCGTCTGGTTTTTTGGAGAAGAGTTGTAGAAGTTTCAAAGGGATATGGAGGCAATAATTGAGAAACAAGGAGGATATATCAAATAAAATGTTTCTTTCATTTTGTTGGAACCATTTGTATTTCTTTAAATTAACTGATTAATCAATTTTTATTTCAATACCAAAATTATGAAAGTTTTGCCTCCCAACTCTCTCTCTCTCTCTCTATATATATATATATATAAGTGAACATAGAAGTCTAAGTGTTGACTTCTATGTTCACTTTTATATTTACACACGCTCTATCTCTGATATTGAGCACTTTATTCCATAAATATAACACATCTTAAGACTATATATATAAGAAGTTTGTTAAACTCAACTGACAAGGTCAGTCTGTCTAATCCCTTTCTAAGATGCCTCAACCACCAGGGATTAATCCTAGACTGTTCCTATGCATATTATATCATGTATTCCAAGGAAAAAAATGTCTGACTGAAACAGAAAGTGAGTTCATTGATATAATCCATTCCCAGAGAAGTGAGGTAGGAAAGTTACACAAACAACTTTATTTTGCAGAAAGTTCCAAATAAAATAAATTGGTAACATTTGAATTTACAACAAATATATATTCAGTATTTTGAGCTCAATAAAATAAATTTTTTACTTACGGTTGATTTTTTAAGGTCAGATTCTCTAAAGCTGGTAATTTGGACATTCCCTGGTAAATAAAAATAAATAAGATTTGAAATTGTGCTTGATTGCTATTGAAACCAACTTCATTTTCATTAGTCAATTGTTTAAACAATCAATTAACACAAACGCACTTCAAATAAAAAAGGAGAACACATGGGAGTTAAATATGATTTTTATGTACTATGAATAAAATTCCATGATTGACCGACCTCTAAATGTGACAAATGTTTAATCTCATATCCATGAATCCAATATAATTTTTATGCATAATGTAGTGTTATAAAAATAAGAATATTCTTGAACTTTTATCTAATATGCAAAAGGTAAGTTGAATCCTGTGCAATGTTTACCTGAAACTACACAAAATGAAGGTATTCAATTTCCTAAAGTATATTCCATAACAGAATGAGTAAATTTGAGAGAATCTTTTCAAACCATAATCTTCTTGGTCACATGATCTTTTGAAATGTAAAAGACCAATGGATTCTGTAAGAATAAAACTTACAGGCCAAATAGCATCATTCGGGGTACCAAACATCTCTATGATCAGTTCTATTTGATGGATCTCTCCTCTGCCAGGAAGCAATGGTCGATGGGCTAAAAGTTCTCCAAAAATGCAGCCTATTGACCTAAAAAATAAAAATAAAATCTATATAGTGTAGTCAAATATATGCATTCATATTTTGTAAAGAAATCTGCCCATGTGATTAAATCAAGAAGTTTGAAAAATTCCTTTTTAACTTAATTACTCATTTTATGAAACAACTACCACAATGACAAAGAATCACAAGGAAGGAAAATTGTCAAAATGAAAAAAAAGAGGAAGCTGTGGAGAGCTATGATTGCCCATGTCATGAAGAGAGATGTGACAATTATTTTAATAGACACTTCTCTATAAGTCACTTGTCAATATGCAAGGACTCATTGGTATATGACAGTTAAAGAATAATTTAATTAGGTCTCTAATCAGAGAAAACAGTGCCTTGACATTCTTAAATCTTCTTCCATCTCCAATATTTTCAACTAACGACTGTACAATTTCCACATTTGTAGACCCTTAAATATGAGCAAAATAAATTTTTATGAACAGTTAGTCATCTCTCAATATTTGTCATCAGGCTATGAAATGAGTCAAAGACTGAAAATCATAGCTAAATTTATCAATATGACTTTTGTCTTGCTTCCAACCAGCTGGAGATGCTTTCTAGAAATAAGTTTAAATTGATTGTATGATTGTAAGGAGTTTTTTATTAATAAATCAAACAATAAAGAAAATTTTGAGTAGGATGTAGTGGAGAGACAGGAAACCAATAACAGAAAGAATTGGTAAATGTCTAAAGTGGATTGACATCAGAAAGAGTTTATAGAACTTTCTTCATTGATAGAAACATTGCAGGTTAAAAAAAAGGTTGAACAAGTTGGATCATTGCTTTTTTTTCAACAACTCTCCAAAAGGGCTTTGAAAACAAGAAATCTCTCAACACAACAATGTACCAGCATATCAGTCATATGTTTGCAGTGAGTTTTTGGATAGAAAATTACCAATTCCATAAAACCTCTAATTTTGACAGCAAAGTGCCTTGGTATCATACTACCAGATATTTTGTTATTGTAGTTTAGAGCAATATTAAGTGTGTAGTTGACAAAAGAAAATTCCAAACACTTCAGGATTTAAAGAATTTCTTTGAAGAGGCAGGTTCAATAAAACCTGAAATGTGTCAAAACGCTATTCAAAGTTTTCATAAATAGTGGCTCATTTATCAAGAAATACTCATTCTCCTTATTGTTTGGTTAATAAAAACATTCCTTTATATCATCTTTTGTTTATCTTCTATTTTGGTTTCAAATGTGAAAGTCATTTTATTTATACTTGGTATATATTTTCAGAAATTTGAATTTAACTTTATAGAAAAGACTGTTGCAAGTATTTTTGTGTTACATTATTAAATCTCAAATACAATTAGTCAAAACCATAAAGTACCTTTATAAAGAAAGAGGAAAACAAATGAATAACTCACCACATGTCAATTGCTGTTGTTTGAGTCTTTGAGCCAAACAGCAATTCTGGAGCACGGTACCTGATAAAGATTAAATAAAAATGAAAGAATGCTCCATCTTGATAGTTTTCCTTCTATATTCATAAACAGCTTGATTATTCAACATGAAATTAAGTATACAAACTTCTTAATATTTTTTGCTGTATTAATAGCATTTGAAATTTTATAATAATAATAAAAAATTGGACATTTATTATTAATTTTTCTATTTCTTTTGTCATATTTGTTACTTTTATAACTTTACATCTAATATTATACAGGAAATAATTTGGGTAGTACTGAAGTTTGAAAGTGTTTTCAATATTTTTTTCCTTATTGTGTAGAATTTGAAGGCTACAGCTTCTAAGACCTCTTAAGTAGAAGCTTATGATTATTATAGATTTTATATTGCTGTTATGATGAGAGTAGTACCTGAATTATTTCCTGCATAATGATAAATGCAAAAGCTACAAAATCCACAAGAAAAATAGAAAAGTAGGCATATAATTCTACTTATAACAGTTACCATTGAAAACAACTTATTCAACTTTGATCTAAAATTTACTATGCCACCTCTAAAACAATAAAAAACAGCCAGCACAAAACAGAATAGCAAAAACAATAAACCAGAAGTAGGAATATACAAATTAAATTGCACAAAATGTCCAATAACATAGATTGATTAATCATCCAGAAATCCCCTCCCACCAAAAAGACTATAAGAGCATTGCAGAACAACACTTTAAACACATCTGAGCACAATTACAACTTAAAAATGCCAATCTGATTAAAAAAGAAAAGAATTTACTAAGAAAATATGCATTGAAAGACTGGACTCATATGCAAATATCTCTCGCTCTTTCTCTCACACACAATATATATATATATATATATATATATATATATATATATATATATATACACACACACACACACACATGAGTGTAATGTGGGTTCCAATGGAGTGTAATTCCAATGCCCAAACATTTTTAAAAAGTGCTCAACACAGGGTAGAACTTAATAAATTACTTTATTAACAATTATAACAAAAACATATTATAAATGCAATCATGTATATATAAAGTATTTTATTTCATGTACTGGCCAGCATGTTTTTACATTCAATATAGAGAATTATGTATTAAGTGCACTCAAAAAGTTTGGGAGAATTTGATAAGAAGTTTATCTTAACATCTACTTTCTACTGTCTCAATTGAAGTAGTTTTCTTAGACATGTATACAGCAATCTCACAAAGAGCAGCAGTAAAAGACTACTACAGTTGATTTCAAATTCCAAACTGGAAAGAGTGACAACAGTTACTGGACTTGAGGAACCTATTTTCCTGAAAAATAGTTTTAAGAGAAAAATTTTATAAATTTTAACCAATGATAGCATTGGCTGCTCAATCATTGAATGCCAAATGTTTCTTTATATAGTGTAACATCTTTGATAACATGACTATAGATATTCTTACTGTTAGTTAAATAAATAAAAATTGAATGTAAATGCGTCACTTCTGAGCTGGGTTTTTTTTTTGATAGATGAGACTGCAAAGATGTGCGTTGCTTTTAAAAAATAGACCTATCTAGTCTGAGAAACTGTTTTCAGAGTGTAAATTGTGACAAAACATGTTTTTTGAATCGCATGGATTAGTTTACATTTAGATTAACTGAACCTATCCATTGACTTCTATATTGGTCACAATCAAATAGCCAAGCAAGAAAATTTGACACTGGGATGATCTCTTCAAAAATACCAGGCAAGCCTATGCAGATAGACCTATGTATGCATTTCTTTTAAGTAAATGGAGATATGTGAGTATATCTATCTCCTCCTAGAAGTCTGCTCTTACCATGATTGACTGATTACAAAAGACATGGAACAAACTAAACTGTTCAAGTTTGTAACTTCCTGCTCAGATTGGTTGTTTTGAAGTTCTGTCACAATCTAAACTCTGAAAACAGTTGTTTTCTCAAACTAGATATGTCTATCTTTTATAGGTCCAGTAACTGTTATCACTCTTTCCAGTTTGGAATTTGAAACAAACTATAGTAGTCTTTTACTGCTGCTCTTTGTGAGATTGCTGTATGTAACAAAAGATATGACTTACCTTGGTATTTGAAACAAGCGCAAAGTGTCTTGCCTGAAAAGTGATGACAAAAAAGAAATATGGCCGCTATTGAAGACACAATTTATGAGCGTCTATCTCATCCAAGACAAGATGATATTTTCACACATGCAAATTTTGGCCACCTTGGAATAGCATAAAAAGCGGGGTGCCAGCAGCACGGTGAAAAAAAGTGATTCAGCAGACTACATGTGTTAGAGTTGGATGTACAGATTGACTGACAGACAGACAGACAAAGAGGAAGTTGAAGAAGGCACGGCTGAGTTGGTGCCTGTTTCACAACTGCCCAGTGTAACAGCCACGCAATCCATTTCCTTGAGGCAACCAAAGAAGAAAAGAGTTGGCCTGCCGGCGAGCGTCGCACTGCACTTTTTGACCCCCCTCATCATCATTTATTTTTCACTACACTGTATACATGTCTAAGAAAACTACTTCAAATGAGACATTGGAAACTAGATGTTAAGATAAACTTCTTATCAAATTCTCCCAAACCTTTTGAGTGCACTTCAAACCTTTTGAGTGCAATTCTCTACATTGAATGTAAAAATGCTCTTTCTTCATTATAGTAGCAGCTTAAGTTCTGAAAGTTTAATTTCTCTTGGACTAACAATTTACTGTACTTTATTATAAATATGCACTGGTGAAATTTAATACATAATAATTATAACAAAAGCCATATTGTTACAAGTATTTATTAACACTTTACTTACCATAATGTCACAACTTTTGGTGTCATAGGTTTCATTGGCATAGAGTACTTTCGTGTAAGACCAAAGTCAGCTAAAAAGAATTTTTTTAAATAATTAATCAAAATTTTCTTAAAACATTAATGTAACAAAATAAGTGTATATAATAAATATATTTTGAGAGGGCATTCAAGTAAATTGAAAAGATTTATGCAAGTGACTTGATATAATTTTTCATTGACTGATGTAATGAATGACATAATGTTTAGTAATATTCATAACTGCTCATAAAAAGGAGTTGACAACATTGTATAGAGAAACAGTTCATCCTGAAAGCCAACAGAATCACTACAAGTTTTGTTTGGGCAATTGAACACCTTGAATTGTTTGAACAATATCTAGAATGTTAAGGATTCTTCTCAATGTTATAGAAAATTTATCAAAAGAAGAATTTCATTGCATACTCTAAAGTGAAGAGAATGTGTTAGAGTAAAATAAATTTTTAGAATCTATTGCCTATTCAAAAGATATACTTTAACTGGTAAGTAGTGTTAGACCCCTGAGTGAATAGAGAGAACATTTGCTGAATAAATCATCTTCAGTTAAAGTTCTCCATTCACTATCCAATTTCAGACTACAGATTCAAAACAACATGAAGCTGAGAGTGAAGGATTTCTGTCTTAATTTCTGAGATGAGGAGTTATTATTTACAATCAGACTAATGTTCTCATTTTTGTTGTTATTATCACAACATTTTGCCCTTGTGGCGGACATGAGACAGAACCTGGGACCAGCACAACTGGTCGCAACTTGCCTTGTCCCCGCCAAAAAAGAGCCCGTATTTGCTCAGCATGTAAAGCTACTGCAGTTGAAATGAGGGAGAGAAAAAAAAGCACTTACCGCTCTGCCGTAATCCATCCTCGGCCAGATAACTTAAAAGAATGAGGGGGGACTGGCATCGCATTTTTATGCAATAACGATGCAATGCATTATGGGATGTGGACGCAAGGGATTATGGGTATATGAACAATTATAACAAGAACTACTTTTTTCCAAGTCGGGGAGTTCTTCGAGAGACGTTCACGGTTGACGGCAAGAACGGGCAGTTAGTGTGATTTGGAGACAACTCAAGAAGGAATGACTCAAGTTTGAAATACCAGTTGGGAGAGCTTGAATTTACTCGCTGGTTACTATTTTCTTCATTCACCACAAGCTATTTTGGCTTATTGATTCTTCAAAATGGAAGGCAAGGTCTTTGACGTCCGTTTGATTCCAGAATTCAGCGGCGCCCCAACGGATATGCCCATTGTTGAATGGATAGAAAATGTGGAATTGGTCTGCGAACTTTGTGCCATGGACAAGATCGAGCACATTTTGCCTCTACGACTTCGAGGTGGTGCCCTTGCTGTGTATAGACAACTCAGTGGAGAGCAGCGGGCAGATGCGGAGCAAATTAAACGGGCCCTTATGACTGCATACGCAACTGACAGATTTAATGCGTTCGACCAATTTATGGGACGGCGTCTTCTTAAGGGGAAACTGTGGATGAATTCCTGGCTGAAATGCATCGCTTTGGCGCGGCTAATGGGGAACCGCTACCTGATCGGTGGATGGCATGTATTCGTGTCAGGACTGCCACATCATGTTAGGCAGCTTCTCAAAGCTTCTTCCAGGATGGACGACATGAATCTAGAACAGATTCTGACCCGAGCAAGGGCTATTATGATGGATGACGAAGGATGCCAGGTATTGGCCGCCAGATCCGTGAGAGCTACCGCTACCAGAAGCTGAGGTTCCCCCTGCCAAATCTGTTAGCAGAACGATTACCTGCTACAAGTGCTCTGGACCCAACCATATGGCGAAGAATTGTACACAAGGACGTCAGGAGAGGTCAAACAGAACGCAGAGGTCTGGCCACGACAAGCGGTGTTTTCGATGCAATGGCATTGGACACATTTCCTCAGAATGCCAGGGAAACGCCCAAGGGGAGAAGGCATTAGCGCCAGCCTTCTCCCCGAGCAAGTAAAAACCCAGAAGTTACCCACCGTACAAGTACTTGTAGATGGAGTAGAGTGTACAGCTCTAGTGGATTCGGGATGCTCACAGACGCTGGTGAGCAAGACTGTGTGTCACTGCTGGAAACAGGAAGAGGTGGGAGTGTTGACTGCCGACGGGAAGACCCTGAAGTGCCGTGGATACGGTAAAATTAAGTTGGGCGTCGAGCGGATTCAGCCCGTGACTGTTGAGGTTCTAGTCGTGGAAGGGCAGTTGCTAGGATTCGATCTTCTTCTCAGGATTGATGCAATCAAAGTGCTCGGAGGTGTTTACTTAACCGAATCAGGCGAAGCGCGTTTCGGAAACCTGAACACATGTGCCGCCATTGTTATCAACAAACCTGACTTTAGAGTGACGTTTAATCCGAGCAAGAAAACGTGGACTGCATTGTGGAAGTGGGCGAGTGGTCATTCACCTAGCAAGTTGGTCAATAAAGTACAGGAGTACACAGTACCTGGCCACGTCCGGGATGCATACGATGAAGAACTAGTACGGTGGCAGCGAGACGGATGGCTACTGCCATATCCCGAGAAAGAGCTTGGCCCACCCAAGGGATTAATTCCTTTCATGGCGGTCGTACAAGAACACAAACAGAAGGTCCGGCCGGTACTTGACTATCGGGAGTTGAACGGCTTTGTAGACGCATTCACGGCTGACGCAGAGGTGTGTGCACAGAAATTACGAGAATGGCGACGACAAGGAGCTGACGTGTCGCTGTTGGATTTGAGAAATGCGTACCTACAGATTCACATTGACAAATCGCTATGGCCGTTTCAAACAGTGGTCATTAAGGGCAAGCGGTTTTGCCTTACACGTTTGGGTTTTGGCCTGAATGTGGCACCACTTGTCATGAAGTCGGTGATCGACATAATAACGTCCCAGGATCAGGACATTAAGAGTGCCACGTCGGCATACATTGACGATATCTTCATAAATGAAGGCCTAGTTTCTGCAGCGCAGAAGACAGCACTTTGCAGATTACGGGCTAGTCTGTAAAGATCCGGAGCGATTGAGGGACGGAACTAAGGTCCTGGGTCTGCAAGTCTGGGAAGAAAGCAACTCCCTTCGATGGAAGCGGGAGGTCAAGTTCAGAAATTGCTCAAAAGGTGACCCGCCGAAGCGTATTTTCCTTGTGCGGGAAACTCGTGGGTCATTTCCCTGTGTGCGGTTGGTTTAGGGTGGCAACTGCATTTATTAAGCGTTATGCAAGAACACTAACCAAAGGATGGGACGACGAGATAAAGGATGCCACTCTTGGACGTATGCTGGAGGAAACAGTGGCCAGAGTGCGGGAATCGGATCCTGTCGGCGGAGACTGGTGTGTGAACGGCAATGAAATGACAGTTTGGGTGGATGCAAGCTCTGTGGCCACGGGAGTAGCACTAGAGGTGAATGGGAGCGTCGTGGAAGATGCTTGCTGGTTGCGTCCAACCAATGATGCCAGACACATTAATCTTGCTGAGCTTGACACTGTGATCAAGGGCGTGAATCTTGCCCTGCAATGGCAGGCACCAGTTATGCATGTGGTCACCGATTCAGCATGTGTGCATCGGTGGGTGTCTGACACCCTGACAGGAAAGACACGCGTGAACACGAAGGCAGCGGGTGAAATGCTGATGAGGCGGCGCTTAGAGACACTGCGAGCTCTGGTGGAGGAGTACGCACTGACTATGACTGTGACGTTGGTAAAATCTTGTCAGAACCGCGCTGACAGCCTCACCAGAGTGCCGCAACGCTGGTTGGAGATGCACAAGAAAGGAGGAGAACCGGTGCAAGTGAGTTGTGCCACTGCAACGAGCCAGGTGACCCACATCCACCAGCAGAGTGGGCACCCAGGTGTTAAAAGAACAATGTACTTTGCTAGGACTGTAGATCCAACGGTGTCTAAGGAACTGGTAAAATCTGTTGTTAGAACCTGTAAAAGCCTGCCAATCGATCGATCCAGCACCAGTGCATTGGAGGAAAGGAAATTTGAGTGTGAGAAAAAACTGGAGCAGGTTAGCAATGGACGTAACCCATTACAATGGTAGCCATTTTCACGCTCATTGACTGTGGTCCCTCACGTTTTTGGCGGTATGGCGGCCACTGAGACGGCAAGACTCTGCTGGTGTCATTCGTCAGTTGGAGACAGTCTTCTCTTAACGAGGCCCGCCGACTGAAATACTGACTGACAATGACACCACGTTCACTTGCAGACAATTTAGGGAATTTGTAAACAGCTGGGGCGCATTTGAGGTTCCGGTGCGCTTTACGTGCCGTCTGGAAATGGCATTGTGGAACGCAACCACAGAAGTGTCAAAACCATAGCGGCCAGGAAAAAAATTGTTCAGTCTTGAAGCGGTTTACTGGCATAACGTCACACCTAAGGACAACTTTTCACCTTCCACGGCACCGCTGATGTACTGCACACATACCACGTCCGGGTGAGAGGCATCGACGCGATGTCCCCGCCTGAATCACAAGTAACGAAGGGGAATAAAAAGAAAGGGGACATTGTCTGGGTTAAGACTCCACGTGGTAAATGCACGACCAAATTTGGAACCGGACGTGTGACCGAGGTGGTGAGTCAGCAGTCAGTGCGGGTCGATGGAACACCTCGTCATGTTAGAGATCTGCGCCCTTTTTGGGCTCGAATCCCACAACTGACGAAGAAGACACGGAGGATAGTGAACAGCCAATATACATAGAGTTGGATTCAACAACCAATCACTCTGATAGCGGTAGTGTGCCAATAGATCGGGACGTGTCTAATGAGAGCTCCTCTGATGAAGAAGTTCAACCAATCCCCTTCGGAGGAGTACCGGAACAAAAGACCGGGATCCTCACTGTCATCTGTGTGATCAGGAGATCAGGGGGGAATGTGGCGGACATGAGACAGAACCTGGGACCAGCACAACTGGTCGCGACTTGCCTTGTCCCCGCCAAAAAAAAGCCCGTATTTGCTTAGCATGTAAAGCTATTGCAGTTGAAATGAGGGGAGAAAAAAAGCACTTACCGCTTCTGCCATAATCCATCCTCGCCAGATAACTTAAAAGAATGAGGGGGACTGGCATCGCATTTTATGCAATAACGATGCAATGCATTATGGGACGTGGACGCAAGGGATTATGGGTATATGAACAATTATAACAAGAACTACTTTTTTCCAAGTCGGGGAGTTCTTCGAGAGACGTTCACGGTTGACGGCAAGAACGGGCAGTTAGTGTGATTTGGAGACAACTCAAGAAGGAACGACTCAAGTTTGAAATACCAGTTGGGAGAGCTTGAATTTACTCGCTGGTTACTATTTTCTTCATTCGCCACAGTGTCATCTGACTTTCTTCAGGTGTGTGTTGATCCAGACAAGCATTATAAATAAGATTGAAAAAATGATACAGGCAGAGAAGGATACTAACATATGATTATACCTATTGGGCCATGACTACATTAAATACACCATGTACAATAATAGTGTTATATAATGATGTATCTAAAAGTATCACATTACAACTTACATTTGAATGCCTATCAAAACAAGAAATGATTGGCTCAACCAATTAATATCTCCTCAAAAGAATGACTATTAAAATGTGTCCCCAATAAACAATATTAGGTTTTTGGTAATTAAATAAAAAAAGTGAGAACAAGTATAGGAAATATTGAAAAATATAAATGGTCAGTTTGTAGATATATTTCATGAAATTTACTTTGCGAAATTTCCATTTTTATAAGTCAGCTTGCTATATATTGGAGAGATTAGCCTATAATTATTATTGCCAAACATACATAGTTTGAATTTATTCATGTTGATTAATTTTTTTTAGATATCAGTTTTCAAAGAAAAATGAAAATCATAAGATAATTTGCTTGATATTCATTTCTAGACAGTGCCTCCACACAGTACTCAAAGTAAAATATTTTCTGAAGTTTGTGGTTCATAACAAGAATCCAAACATTATTGGAGATCTTAACAGAGCCATGGGCAACAATCCTTAGATGAAGAACATGGATAAATATCTACACATTTTTTCTTAAGTTATTTTAATACTTAAATAAATACTCACCAATTTTAACACAACCTTTATCTGTCATTAATAAATTGGATACTTTAAGATCTCTGAAAAAAATAAATAAATATTAGAAAATTTTAACTTTGTTACAGATAAAATGCATAGCAACACATGATGGGAGGATTTTTTTTTTTTTGTATAACACTTCACCAAATGTATGTAAATGACTGCCTTCAACAGTCATAAAAAACAATGTCATCACTTTTTTACTTCTTTCAATATTAGCTTTAAAAAATGCAAGCTGGTTTATATCAGAAACTTCAGATATGGTTATAATAGAAAAAAAAACAAAAGAAGAAAAAATTATTTTGTAAAATATATAACTGGAATACTAAAGTAATATCTTTCTTGCTCAACCTAACAAAAAGGAAAAATCTTGTATTATGTTTTATTTAGAGGTTGCAAAGAATTAACCTAAAAAAGAGAAATGCATTTAATTGCAAGAATAGTTTTTATAAATATCCCCATAATTTCTTCAAAATAAGGCTAAAAGTTCCCATTTTCTCTCCAGATGAAGTATTCTTATTATCTCACCTGTTTCTAATATTCAATTCTGGGTTATGCAAAGTGATTTTTATTGTATGACACACCAGTTGTGTAAGCATATCACTTTACCTGACCATATTAATGTGTAACAGTCTAGACTGTCACTTCTAGATGTGTAATTTAAGATAAAATTCCTAATTTTCCTAAAGCTCTTTAAATTGATAAATATATTTACCTGTGGATTATGAAGTTTTCATGTAAATACTGCAATCCTTTGAATACTTGTATCATGATACATTTCACCTGAAAGCCAAAGGAAGCTCTTTTCACTATAAAACATAGACAATGTAAATGCCATCATATAATTCATCTTCCAGACTCATAGTTGAAAATTGATGCTGAGAGCAAACTATTTTATCTAATGGTAATATAAGCTATTTTCTTATAAGCATCAGCATTCATTGATTGGGCAGCCAGTGCTACTAGAGTTATGATTTTCTTTATTCCTAGGCCAATGAATCAGGATCAAAATGTATCTTAAAATCATCCCACACAATTTATGTGTATACAAACAAAGGAAATCAATGTTAACTTATCAATAATCATTAAAAATATTAAACAAATACTAAGAAAATGACAATTTGGAAAACTTATTTTTTCTAAATTGTCTTATATTTACCATTCCACCAAATTATCAATCCAAATTTAAATCATATATTTACTAAGATAATTCTTAAAATTAGAAATATTTTTAATATTAAAATGTCAAAACATTAAATTTTTAACATAAATGTCAATCTTATTCAATTGATTATTTTAAAGTTCATAAATTAACATCTCAAGTTGTTCTGAAAATTTCTGCTTAAAATACCAAAAGCAATGTGTTACCAAAAAACATGCATAAAAAAATTATCAGGGGATCAAAAATAACAAATCTTACCTGAACTATTTATGTTCATTTTAAGCAGTTATAAGGAGACAATATATATTATATAATTATTGTACAAAATAGTACTTGAAATGTCATAACCATTTTCACATGTAGACTGTGATTCATGTTATTCTACAGATTTTCCTTTTAATGACATTAAATTCTTTTCCTTTCACTTATATTATAAGCAAAAGAAAAAGTATAAACAAAGATAAATGTAGAATTAAAAATAGCAAATTAGTTTCTCACCTGAGCTTCTGAAAAAGGTGCCATCATATTATCAAGTAAAGAGGCCAAGTCCTGTTCACAATATTCCATTACTAGGAATATACTGAAATAAAAATCAAAGAGAGAAATAAGAACCACAGTGCCATATCAAGTAAATTGATCAGGTGTGACATTAAAACTGAACATCATTGATGCAGATGTTTTGTGAAATGGAAATAAATTCTATATTTCCGACTGATAGGAAATTGCACAGATGACAATCAAGAACTATTACCATTGAAAAAAGGATATATTTCTTTTAACTAAATAAAGTGAAAGTTGTCAAGAGATAGTTCATTATTTCTTGAAAAAAAAAAAAATCAAATTATGTTTTAGAAAGGAAAATTCCGCTAAATAGATGGATTAATTTATTGTAGCTTAATAATCTTTATCTCTGTCAAATGATAGAGAGGAAAATATCAATATTAGAATAGGATCAGATCTTGTTATCATTCAATGATTTTTATAGATTAACAAAGAAATAGTTTTAAAGAAGCAAAACCTGGCAAGAATAAAATGACAGTATTCACCTGTCTAGGCTTTTGCCTACCACTACTTCTTGCAGCTCAACAATATTCTCATGACGAAGGTTGAGAAGAATATTGATCTCTCTTAGACCACTGATCGGAATTCCTATGAACAAAAATTCAAGGAATTTAATTACAATCTCTTAGAAAACACATTATTCAAAACTTAATACAAAATTAATGAATGAATTATAAAAAAAATTAACTTTCAAGGTTTTTTTTTGGTATCATTTCAGAAGTCAAAAAGTCATAGAATAACATTCAGAATCTTAGGCAATGAGAATTTACTTTAAAAAAAATTTTAGCTCCACATAAAGTTATAGGAAATAAACCCTATTTCCAACATAATAACTTACCCACATATATAACATGACCAAATTTTATTTTCTACCCAATAGCAGACAATATTACCAACATGTCAAAAAGATTCAACACACATGATTTAAATCAATGTATTTATTGGTTAAAAATTAACATGACTATGTGGAATATTTGACCAATCAGAGAAAACTAAAACCCTATTTTTCTCAAGCCTGCTTTCAGGAAAAAACCCAGATTTCGACTTTTAAGAAGAGATACAGCTGTCTTAGGCACAAAAGAAGACATACTTTTTTCTTTCTTCACATGTGCTGAAATAAACATATGTCAGCAACTTCAAATGAATCGTCAACAACAAAAAAGACAGTCAGTGAATCTTCACTATCAGTAAGTCTTTTCTCAGCCACTGCATTTTTACTGTGAAACCAGCTACCTGAAAACTTAAACCCAACTAAAGATTATTTTTACTCCCTTTTGAATACATGTACATATGTTTGTAAATACAAATTATTTATTTAAAAGGCATAACCGTGTTTACTTTATTTTATTGTTTAGAATACTAAACATAGTTAATATAAAAAAAAACTAGGATGACAGAATTTCCTACAATGTAAGCAGAAATTAGCATCTCATTAAAACACCATTCTTTTTTTCTGGTTGAATTTCTGGAATTAGGAGTCATCATTATTTACACTATTTATATTCTACCTATTGTCCTCATCTTTGTTGTTGTTATCACAAAGGCAAAAACATTGTGATAACAACAACAAAGATGGGAACAATAGTTCAAATAGGGTAAATAATCATTCATTTTAGTGTATATACTAAATATTCTCACAATAAGCCTTTAAAAATTCTAAATTGTAAAATTATTTATAAAATACATTGGAATCATGTACTATAAAAGTGTACATAGCCTATTCATTTTGTTAAACTCACCATCACGTTCTCTTTCCATTCGCATCTTCTTTAAAGCAACAATCTTATTTGATCGGATATCACGTGCTCGGTCTTCAAAACAGAAAAGATAAAGAACAATGCATAATAAAATAAGTATCAAAAGGCCAATATTTTTAACTCTTAGATCAAAATATCAAAATTTAGAGCACACTATTGGCAAAACAATTTAACAAAATTATATTTTGGAGTCAACTTTCCATTGGTATTCAGAAATATTAATGGCTTTTGATAAACTGTATGGAAGAAGTGAATAAATCTAATTCAGTTTGTTCATCCTTTTTTATCTTGAGTTCTTAGTGTTTCTTTTCTTTTTTCTAAATGTTTCTACTTATTACTCATAAAAATATTAGGTATTTGCAATATATATATATATATATATATATATATATATATAATTTAAATATGTTTGAAACGGTACAAAAACGTATTAAAGCATTAAAAACTAGAAATTTTGTATTGTAGGCCATGATAAGTTTAAAATAAAACACACACCAGTCGACCGGTTTCGTCCCCTCTCATCAGAACTGTTAATGGGGAATTAAGATTATGAGGAAAAGAAAAAAGTCTGTCATGGATGACATGAATGAATGGACAGGGAAGGAAAAAAAATGTTATACCAATCAAGCTGCTAGAAGCGCAGAACAGCAAGTCCAAGCAAACAATCTCTTTGTTTGCAAAGAGCAGGCTGCCTGGACCTGATAAAGTGATTCCAACAACTTAAGATGGAAAAGTGAGTGCGAACTGGCCAAAACGGAAAACCAGTTCACACTGAAATCCATCGCACAAGTTGGATTCTTTATAAAATGATCCGCAATCGAAGACCCATACGTGTTACGAATGGTATCGCCCAAAGAGAATTTTTTATTCAGTATAGCAGGTACATGTTGTTTAATTCTAACGTCCAACCGCTGTGTTGTTCTACCTATGTAGTCGCATCCACAACTACATTTGAAATAGTAAATAACAGAGTTAATATGGTGGGGGGGGGGTTAGAACATCTTTACACATAGATGAAAGTACAGACTTAGTTTGAAAGACAACACAAACGTTCGCTGCAAAATAACACTCACGTGAACTACATGAAATACGCTTGGCGAAGGATTCACTAATCCTACCCAACCACGGTAAACGAAGATAGACCGGACATTTACCCACTGAAGCAGGTTTGATTTTGTTGAACCTGGCAGTCTCATCTCGAATAACCGATTGAACAATGTTCAACGGATAACCATTGTTCACAAAGATCTCAGTTAAACAACTGATTTTTCAAGGTGTCACCCGAACAAATCATTACTTTTACAGGACTATATACTCGATGGGACTCCTTTTGTCCTAAACAACAAAAGATTAATTTGATTAGGACCCTGACACATAGGGCGTTAATGATAATGGTATGGGTCTTCAATTGCGGATCATTTTATAAAGAATCCAACTTGTGCGATGGATTTTAGTGTGAACTGGTTTTCCGTTTTGGCCAGTTCGCACTCACTTTTCCATCTTAAGGTGTTGGAGTCGCTTTACATCAGGTCCAGGCAGCCTGCTCTTTGCAAACAAAGAGATTGTTTGCTTGGACTTGCTGTTCTGCACTTCTAGCAGCTTGGTTGGTATAAAATTTTTTTTCCTTCCCTGTCCATTCATTCATGTCATCCATGACAGACTTTTTTCTTTTCCTCATAATCTTAATTCCCCATTAACAGTTCTGATGAGAGGGGATGAAACCGGTCGACTGGTGTGTGTTTTATTTTAAACTTATCATGGCCTACAATACAAAATTTCTAGTTTTTAATGCCTTTTATATATATATATATATATATATTTATATAAAAAAAAATTTGGTATTTGGACAGCAATCCCTCTTTTATACAAATTTCATTAAAAACAACTGACAAAGTACTGCTATTAACTTTTTTTTCAATTTTTCTTGCATTCATGCAAGTATTTTCTTTTCTGGACATAGTGTATAAAAACTGTCCATATGTAATATATATCCAAGCACTTTCAACTATTCTATTAGCCATTATCAAGGATGTGTTTTTGTTATTTTAACAGAAAATGTAGATTTTTATATATGTGTATCTATAGTGATGAGAATGTTTTTTTATTTTCCAAACACAGTTAGCACATTGTGGCTGTATTTATAGTTGATGTTATTGAGTGTCGGCTTTTTTTTTTTTATTATAATTGCTTTTATTATTTGGAATAATAAAAAAAAAAGCCAACACTTAATAACATAACTATGAGCAAAGCAACAATGTGCTGACTGTGTTTGCAATATTCAGTGCACGGATGAATGGTAGATTTAGAAATGTGCAAAATGGATTCTGGTGACAAAGATTGTCTAGCACAGCATAGTAAACCAACTTTCACAGCAGCAGACCTAACAATTGATTAAATAGGATCATTCGCCTTCATGTCAGTGGAAAACATAAGACCGAGAAAACACCAGGAGTTGCTCACCTGGAGATTAGCATCAGCCAAACTGATGGTAAGTAAAAATGGTTCTCTCATCTGACTAAAAGACAGTACGTTCATTTTGGAGGCATTAAAGTTTATAAGCAATTTCTTGCCTCAGCTAACAATGAACTGAAGGTCATTTTGGAAATCAGCTGCCAGTTTTACTTTGTCAAACCTATCAGACTTACTATTAAGACAGGACTAAATAGTCATGTCATCAGCATAAATACAGATTTGGGAAGTGATGACATCAAGAAAGTCATTGATGAAGCTAAGAAACAAAGTAGGTTAAAGGATAGAGACCTGCGGGGAAAACCACATTAATGTGGAAAAATTTAGAAGTGTGGCCACTGCAACAAGATTTTATTATGCAATTTGTTAAAAAGGATTGAATTAAGTCAAAAATTCAACTGGAGACACCATAGCTCCTCAGCATGTGAAGAAGGCCTATCAAATGCTTTCAAGATATATAAAGCCACAGCCCAAGCTTTACCATTCTTATCTAAAGTTTGGCATACACTTGCAGTATTAACCATTAACACATTGGTAGTTGACCTAGAGAAATGAAAGCTATATTGTTTGTATAAAAGACAAATGCATTTTTCTATATGTGAATGATATAAATAAAATAACAGGTCAAAGAAAATAATGGCAATACGAGATGAAGACATCACACTTAAAAGAGGAAAATCAGGAAATATAAGCAAACAAAAAGATTATCAAATAATGTAATATTAAAAAAGCTATTTCTGAAGATTTATCTTTGTGCTTCTTGTCTCTTGAATGATAAAGACTATGACAATTCACTGGATAACAAAACTAGATAATTGGCCTTTGTAAACCTTATGAAAAAAAAGCAATAAAGATAATAGCAAAAATAAATCACTGAATGAAGAAGACTTTCAAAACTTCAAACAAAGTTATTTATATACAATGCTTCATTAGATTTTATATGAAATCTATCATTTAACTGATAGAGAAGAAATGTTTCATTACATTCAAAATTCTACTTCCTTTTAGGCATGTATTTAGTTTTGGTTTGGTTTGGTTTGTTTTATGGCATATCAACCTCAATGAGTTATTTAATAAATAAATTTTTATTGCTGGTAATATTTTTGTCCTTCAAAAATCTATTTCTGGCAATATTTTTCTTCAAAAATCTATTGCAGGTAATATTTTTTCCAAAGATGTATTGCTGGTAATATTTTGTTTGTAATAATTTTCCTTTAAAAATGTATTGCTGGCAATAATTTTTCCTTCACAAAATCATTGCTAGTAATAATTTTTCCTACACAAATGTATTGCTAGTAATAATTTTTTCTTCAAAATTGTATCTCCAATAATAATTTTTCCCTCAAAACTATATTGCTGGTAATAACATTTTCTTCAAAAATGTATTGCTGGTAATAACATTTTCTTCAAAAATACATTGCTGGTAATAACATTTTCTTCAAAAATACATTGCTGCTAATAATTTTCCCTTCATAAAAGTAATGCTGGTAAAAAAAATTTTTTTCTTGAAAATGTATTTCTGGTAATAATTTTTCCCTCAAAAATGTGTTGCTTGTATTAATACCTATTTTTACACCTCCATAGTGTTTTTGACCCCTGTTTGGGGGGGGGGGGTCAACATAGCTGGGACCCTAACAGTTGCTACCACCCCAGGTCAGGATGGACCTGGGAACACCAGCAATTAAGAGGTAGTTCCACACTCCTCAAACCTTCAAATAGAGGCCTTGTTGTCAGATGTAGTTTATCATCTTACCCAGGATAAGGATGTAGTTTATCGTCTTACCCAGAACGCTTCATTTGGGGGTCTTACTCCTCTGCAGAGGTGCACTCAGCGTATTCTGAAGCCCCAACTGACAGGGCTGACATGTATTTAAATTGAACAATAAAAAATACTCACAGACAATTCCATAAGTTCCTTCACCAACTCGATTCATCTTCTCAAAATCTGTAACACTTCGACATCTCCCAAGCTACAAAATTCATAATTATTGGAAAGTTGACTTCAGCATTTAAGAATAAGCTTGATGTTCATCCTTCTTTTAATTAAAAGATTATTACTGATAATTTTTTTACTCTCATAATACATATAGATCTGACATAAAGAAGATCACAATTCCAGTAAACATGGATAGACAAGTAGTGACTTACAAGCATAAAATAACATTAACAAAGATCCACAAATCTCATACAGGCATTTTTGTCTGAATTTCTGAGACATGGCATTGTTACTGTTATTGATTTGTTTAAACCAGTTTCCTCATTTGTGTAACAATGAGAAAGAGAACATATCCTTTTCCTCAGACAATTGATAGCCTTCTGAGAAGCCTAACTGAAACACTTCATCCAATCTTCTCATCCAAGTACCTATTATATCTGGTGTCATTCTCAGGTAAGGATTCAGAATTCATCAATTCCTCTTTAATAAAAAAATATGTATCAGTTTAGCATCAACCAATCTATTTCTCTGTTGAGCTGATACATAATTTTTTTTTTTTTTTTTTTTACACAGTTTATATGGAAAGGAAACAGGTTACATGCAACCAATGAAGAAAAAACAAAATAAGATATATAAAACAAAACATTGGTAAATCAGATATTTAAAAGAAGCAAAGCATATGCTATGCTCAAATCATTGAATCCATAGGGCAAGCATTAAAGATGAGTACCACATGGAAGCTACTAATTAGAAAAGATCAAGCATGAAAATTAAAAGCTCCAGAATCATTAACTGAGCCTTCTACAGAATATGATATAGCAGATAAAAATACTGGTTAAATTTCAACTGGTTCTCTGACAAAGAATTTCATTACAACACCACCAAATAAGAATGAGAACAACATAAATAGGGTTTCATTGAAAATTCATAAAAAAACTACAAAATGTCTGAGGAAGGCCAGAAATGTAGTTAGGACAAGAACAAGGAAAAATGTTTTGAAAAGAATCAATATATATCATCCAAGCATTATCTGTCTATATTTCTGAGATGAGGTATTATGTACACTATTTACATTATTCAAACTATCGTCCTAATCTTTGTCCTTATATTTATTACAACGTTTCAGCCGTTGTACACTCCAGCCTTCTTCAGGTGGTTGGAATGTCGAACTGAACCTGTTATTTCGCTCACTGGGGTAGACTGTTCTAGTTCCACGTGCCATGTTTAATGGATGTCAGTTGTCAGCTATCTCCTGTTAATTCCCCTCTCCATGTTCTCCACTGCCTTAATTGGATATTGAACTCACACTCTTTGGGTCCTGTCACTGGATCTAACTAATGCCTTTATCCACTGTGCCATGTTGTCCTTGAGGTCTACCCCAGTGAGTGAAATAAAGGGTTCAGTTCGACATTCCAACCACCTGAAGAAGGCCGGAGCATACAACTGACGAAACGTTGTAATAAATATGGCAACAAAGATGAGGACAATAGTCCAAATAATGTAAATAGTGTATCATCCAAGGACGTTCTCACAATGCACTTATAAATTATGTACAAAATATTGTTAATCACAATATCTTACAGATAGTTACTAAGCTTAGGTTATAATAGGAAATCACTTTGTGAAAATTAAATTCACTTTATTTGTAAATGGTTTGCAAGATGAACTTGATAAGCATCACACCACAATAAACATCCTACAATCTACAATAAACATAAAACTTAAACAGATAATGCAGTTTACCAATAAAAAACCGTGCTTCCCATGACTGTGTAGGTAAATTGATTTTACTGCAGTTTTTGGTTTGTAACTGCCTCCAGCTAACAATCTGTCAGATTCATTTAAATTAATCTAATGTCACTGGTTTTCATGTCACATTTGCAGATACCATGCAAGTGTCAAGTGGATCTTCTTACAAGATTGGTGCCAAATGCAAACTCATCATTATGTATATTTTGGGATAATCAGTCAACATCTGTTGGGCAAAAAGTTATTAACATTAGATATGACATCATCAAAGCCAAGTGTTTTTTTCAAATCAGGAGAATAGAGAGGATGATCAACCAGTTCAAAGCCAGAGTCAAGCAGAGTGGCCATTAAAACAAAGGATGTGTGCTGGAGCATTTTTCTGATAAAACAAGACCCCTTTCATGATTTTTTCTGGACATTTGGTCTTGATAGTCTTTCATAACTGCCTCATTAAAAAGTTGGCATAGTTCCATTGATGGTGTGGCACTTTTATACATAGTCAATAAACACAATGCCTTTTGCATCTTGCATCACCTTCATTGCAGATAAAATGACCTTGGCCATCTTGGAGCAGGTGAGGAGAGGTATTTCTACTGCATGGATTTTCTCTATAGCTCAGAGTGATGAACCCAACACTCATCCTGGGATGATCAAATGTTCAAGGAAACTAGCTGGATCTGCCTCAAGCAACGTCAAATTGTCCCATGATATGATTAGCCTGGTGCACTTTTGATCAGGTATCAGAAGATGTGGCACCAACTGAGCAGAAACCTTCATCTTGCCAAATTCATTGTGCAATGTTCAAGGAAACTAGCTGGATCTGCCTCAAGCAACGTCAAATTGTCCCATAATATGATTAGCCTGGTGCACTTTTGATCAGGTATCAGAAGATGTGGCACCAACTGAGCAGAAACCTTCATCATGCCAAATTCATTGTGCAAAATGTTCTCAACTCTCCTACAGGATATGCTAATAGCATTGGATATGAGATTTATACTCAAATGCCTGTTACCCATCACCAATCTGGTAAACACAATCAATGTTTTCCTCGGTAGTGGCAGGTAGAGGATATCCAAACCTTGGGTCATCTTCAAGACTCTCCTCCTAAATTCAGCTGCCCACTTTTGCATTGCTGATAAAGCTGGAGTGTCATCATCTAATGTAGCAACTATGTCAGCATGAATGTCCTTGGTGCTAAACCCTTTTTCTGGAGGTACTTGATAACACCACAATACCAAATTTTGCCTATTTGGAATAGAAGTTGCTACTAGTTATTTTTTAAATTTTTTGATCAGTCAGATCTCAGTTTATCTGGAAAGAAACCGTGCAGTTATTAATAATAAGAGCTGAAAATAGTGCAAGCAACATTTCACAGCTGTAGCATCACTCCTTCATAGTCTACAAATTTTCAGCCCACCCTCATATGCCATTAACATGCTTCACCTGATCCATTCTCCTACCTTCCTGTTGTGGAGTGAATTCACAGTGGAGGCTTGTATTTGTACTAAGTCGGTCCTAAAATAGGTTTGACGTACAAAACGTTAAGAACTTCATATAATAGGTATAACGCAGAGTAATCTAGTTGTGGTCGCTGATACTTTAGTATTCGACTAACTGTCGTCTGACATCAACTGACTGACCAACTCACTGACCGACTCCCACGTTACTCTTACTACTCCTACTTATATTAGGTGGGAGAGTCTATTAACTATAGAATAGGTGTGTTCCACTATAACATCCCGCAAAAAAAATTTACTCCGTAGGAGTAAACAGTTTTCTGTATTTATTTTTCAATTTTTACAGCAAATATAAAGAAAAAACAAAAAAAAATTCATTTTTTTTAGCAACATTCTAGCGTATCTCCTATGTTTTTGATCCACTTTTAAATGATCAGTTGCCTTTCTTTTTCTCCTGGATCGGCGTACCTCAAGTAAAATTGTTGCAGGCGTTGTTAGATCAAACGTATTGAAAAATCACCTCCATCGGTGTTTCTTCTGTGGGACCGCTGTCAACCACGTCTGAAAAATACCGTCTGATCTGGTTACTGCATGTGAATTTTTCACCTTTCACCAAGTACATCATATTGCCAATCCGCTTTTCTATTTTTTGGTACCTCCATAGTGTTACCAGAAACAACCTTCCGCTTTGAGCTTAAGGATGGTGTCTGTTGAAATGTTGAGTGTTTCCACGTGCGTGTATTGAAATAAGGACAAACACATATGTAGGGAAAAATACTGGTATATCTGAAGAGTTATTTACAACAGAGAGATTAGTAGTCAAACGAACGCAGGTTAGTCAGTAACAATCAGAAAGAGTATAACGTCCAACTGTATCTTCCGGAAGAGAGAAGTGTGATGGTCACCTGATCTTCCCAGAACTCTATAGAACTGTCCTATTAGTAGTAAAGAGATCAGTCCATTCTGATGAGAAGGTGGGTGGCCCCAACAGTGTCACAGTTTCTGTATGTTCTATTTGTTCAGCCTCTAGCTTCCCCTTTGTTGATATTGTGCTTCTTAACGTTTTCTGTGATGACTTCAGTTGACTTAAATCATTTAATAATACTGCATGTCCTTGGCTGCGGGTAACTCGCTCCCCAGTTTTTCTCGGTGTCGGCTTCATCTTTACTTTCTGGAGCTTGTTTTTCACATATATCATCAACTTTTTTAAATACACCGGCTTTCTCTAATCTGTCCAATTCTTTATCTATCTGTTCAATTGAAGCAAACAGCACATTCCTTTTCTTTTTGAATACCGCCTGAGCGTTTTCTTTTAGCTGGAATTTTGCCTCCATCTTGGTAAACATTCCCAAACCTGGAGAAAAAACAGTAGGAAATGCTTCCTTAAGTTTCTTTACTAATTTTTGGGCTTCAGAGTTTAAACTTTCTACTTTGTTAACAGAAAGAATTTATCGGTAGATCCCATAATTGGAATTCTATTATCCAATTCGTACCAAGTAAGTTCGTGGTATATTTTCTATGACAAATAGTTTAGCTTTTCACATTTTTTTATTTAACGTGACGTTTGTAGCAAATTCGCCAATAAATTGTATTTTTTCTCCCGTCACTGACCTCGCGATTTTATTTGTCTTCATTACAGTTGGTTTCCCCAACTTTTTCCACATATGCAAATTATGATAGATAGGTCGGAACCAGTGTTGAGTTGCATTTTTATTTTTTTATTACTTATTTCGACGGTAACAAATTTTCTGGTTATTCCATCATTCACCTCATTGGACTTTAATTTTCTTATTTTATTGTCTTTATTTTTTGACCTGCAGTGCAAGCTTTTATGACCCACTCTTTTGCAGTTGAAACATTTTTTATTCCTAAAATTGCAATATCTGTACCAGTGTAGTTCACTGCAAGCAAAACATGGCTTCAGGAGTTTTTGTTTATTTTTCTCTGGTATTTCACTTTTTGTTTGATAATCCGCGATTTTAGAATTCTTTTTGTTAGACTGACTTTCTTTTTTGGAGCGTATTTTCCTTACATGCGAAACGCCAGACTATTCTATGTTTTTTGAATCTTTCTTTACACTAACATATCTTGTGCAGTCTTCTGCCAACTTCTGTATCGTAATCCTTGGTTCGTTTTCCAATTTTGCCAGCACTAATTTTCTCAACTCTGTGTTTCTTTCCGATACCAGCCCTTGAACAAACACCAAGCGCTTAAAATTGTCAGCGCTTAACTCTGCCAGCTTAAATTCTTCACAATGCTTATTCACATTGGCTGTGTATGTTATATAGTCTTGTTCGTCATCTTTCATCAGATTCAAACATTTCCACCTCTTGTGAAACAAAGATGTCTTTTTACTAAATAATTCACTTAATATATTTACCACCTCGGTAAATGTCAACTCGCTAGTTTTTTTCCGTAAAATGTAGTTTACCAATTTGTTATGCTCAGCAGTTCCTAAGTTGCTTAAAAGAAACCTAACCTTCTTTCCTTCAGACCACGAGTGGCAGTTCTCGTTATACACGTCCGTATATTTTTTATAATACTCCTCAAAAGTTATCGCTTCAACTGGACTGTATGTGAATATTTCAATTGAATTCCATATTGTATTCTCTGGGAAAGAATAATTTTGTAGATTTTTCTCTTTCCTCTTCTCAGTTATTTCCAGAATTTTGTTTTGAAACTCCTTATGCATCTGTTCCATTTTTTTGTTGAAATAGCATTTGTCTATTAAAAATTTCCTCCTGTAATTGTATCTGGAATGTCTTCTGTTGTTCTAATATTGTCATCTGTTGTTCCGACTGGAACTTAAAAATTCCTGGAATATATTTTTGCATTCTTCCATCTTCGCACAAATTTACACAGTGCCTAAATACTGTAGAGGGGGGGGGGTTCTACTAATTTGCAATTCATGACCTATTTGAGCAAACTGTATTATTGAGAAAAAAAATTCTTTTCTCAGTTGAGAATACGACAGCTTTTTTCGTCACTAAGTTGACGTCTTGTCTTTCGAAAAACTTTGCCAAGTTTTTTTGTTTTTTTTTTAAGTGTTAATCCGAGATTTTGTCGCCAAAATTATTGTGACAAGCAAGTTTTTTCTTTTTCCTCCATACGAGTATGAAAATTCATGAAATCGTCACCAAAATAATGTTGTGGCGAGCGAATTTTTTTTCTTCCACCGTATTAATTCGAATCTTCATCGCCAAATTTTACTGTGGCGAACAAATTTTTTTTTCCACCGTATGAATCTGAATCTCTCATCGCCAAATTATGTTGCGGCAAGCGAATCTTTTCCTCCTTCGTATGAGCTCGAATTCCTTGTCGCCAAATTATTGTTGTGGAGTGAATTCATAGTGGAGGCTTGTATTTGTACTAAGTCGGTCCTAAAATAGGTTCGACGTACAAAACGTTAGGAACTTCATATAATAGGTATAACGCAGAGTAATCTAGTTGTGGTCACTGATACTTTAGTATTCGACTAACTGTCATCCAACATCGACTGACTCACTGACCGACTCCCACGTTACTCTTACTACTCCTACTTATTATAGGTGGGAAAGTCTATTAACTATAGAATAGGTGTGTTCCACTATAACACTTCCGCAAATATATAATCTGCATGATTTACACTATCAAGATTATATACCTGAAGAAGGTCTGAAATATAATGACAAAAAAAAAAATAGCAACAAAAAGAATTAGTTTAACTCTGAACAACTCCTGGATTACAATGACTCATCTCAAAATTACAAAAGGTATTTTAAACATTTTTTTTAAATTAGTGCCTCCACAGAAGGTAAGTGATCTGTGTAAGTTTTCAGTTGTTTTTGACTAGATCTTGTTTTGTTTTTTGCTAAGTGAGGCACATTTAAATTGCTGAACCGAACTATTTTTCTTTGACACTCTTGGTGACTTCACACAGAACCACTTAACCTTTTATGAAATTCCTTTGATACCAATTTCAGTATACATTCACAATATACTAACCAGAAAAAAAAAACTTTCTTCCTAGTGAATGTTATTTAAGTATTGTTATTTTTTTGTTTTTCTTGCTCAGCACTTGACTACTTGACTGGTAATATACTTTTGCATGTGCTTGTAAACTTTCTATCAATTTTGTTTTTCATATTTACATTGAAGTTAAATCAAGAGATACAAGGAAATCAACTAGAATTAAAATAAGGAAACTTATGAAATATGAATTTCATTAATTTCAGAAAAAATCAAATCCTTCAAATTAATAAATTCATACTTACCCTTGCCTTTTCTGGAATCTCAATCAAATCACCAGTAAGAAAAGAATAGAAATAATCATTACGATTGGACCTTTTGTCGCTCATTGTAATTTAAAGATTCTTTTACTGCCACATCTACAACAAAATAACAAAGAATTTTACTAAAAATTGCAATCACTATTGGAATTACCCTCAAAATTTATTCTTCGGGAAGTAACTCAATAAAGTTGTATTTCAGCAATTTCTCTCAGGGATTTTACAACAAGAAGCTTATTTATTTTCTTGAAAAGGATTATTTTGCCTAAATAATAAAAAAATTCCACTACAAATAATTTACCAAAGTCACAAAAAATTTAATCATTATTTTTACAACTTCATGAACAGTGTCAATCTATACAATATTTAGGCTACAAGGTATGAAGATTTCAATTTTTCTGTTTTTATTACTCACATTGATCAAATCATTTTTTTTAAATAACAAAAATGTTGATTTCTATACTTAAAAATCCTTTATTTATTACTTGTTCAGTTTAATAAGGTCCTTCAACAGAACAAATATCACTAAAATCTTAGAAAACAGAAAAATGTCTAACACAGAATCCAGATTTCAACATCTAAAAATTAAAGGCAAATGATAAATAGCTACAAAGAACATTAATTGGAAGTAAAAAGTGTACATACGTGAATAATAAAATAAAACCAATAAATGAGCAGCACTATAAAAAGCTGCTTTCAATGGTACTGAGTGACCAATATTAAAAAATATGAAACTGAACAATACTGAACCCTACTATGACTTACAAGGATACTCTTTTTAACTGGATCTGAAAATATGACTGAATTTGGGTATTATGTTAAAAAGAAAATACAATTTGAGTGTGTAAAAGCTCTATGTTTCATAGTCTTATTTTCCATTCATTTTCAACAAATAAAACTTCTCCATCATATCCAAATATAACTGTTGGCTGGGAGTGACCAATAATACTTTTTCATCAAAACCACTGTAAACAACCAAATAGTAAATTTAATTAACTAATTAAATTCTTTGCTTTTAAACTTTACTCATTAATTCTTAAAATTAAATTTCATACAATATTGTGTATAATATACATACTGATAATGTATCCAAATAAATATTAAGATTTTTTAATTCTTTTTAGTTTCTATTTATCAAATATTCTTATTAATGTTCAACAACTTTTATTTAATAAAACTTTCACTTAAATATGGACATGAACATCAACCAAAAAATTCAACTCCATGTTTAAAAAATATACTGTGTTAAAAACTGTAGAATCTGACTTCTACATTTCATGGATCACACCTAATTTCCATAAGGATGCTATTTAACAATGTCCTGATTGGACAACAAATATTAAAATAGTATCTTATAGTATTTTTCACGTGCACGTTCTAAATCTTGTGCAAGCTAAACACTTTTAGGCTCCAAGCTAAAAGTACAATAGACTTTTTCTGATTGGTTAATAAATACCAAGGTCATATTTATGCCTATGCAACTAGAGAACTGCCAAAAATATTGAAAACAGGTTCTTGAGCTTATTACGTGATTACCAAGTAAATAAATATGATACACTAGCACATTCAAGCCAGTGAGCATTGTAACTTCAAACTATTTGCTGCACAAACCTATGTCACTTCATCTAAAGTTTACACACACAATTAAAATAACATCATCAAGATTTCAATCACAAATCTTTACTCATTTCAGCATGTTGAAAGTAAAAATAGTAGAGATTGAATTGAGGCAATTCAATTCTCTACAAAACTAATGACAAAAATGACATTATTTATAGCATTTTTAGTTATCAAGATACTAAACTCTCTACATGCAAAACAGTTACTGCATAAATTATTTTTCTACTTTTCTGTGTAAATTAAAATATGAAATATCTTAATGTCTGTTGAAAATTATAAGATTCATATTTTTATTGCTCAATTACAATATACTTTAATCAACAAAAATTAACTATTTACAAGTTTTTAAAAAATAAATTTCATTTTTCTTTTTATTATATTTTTTGTAATTTGGACCAGCTTGCTTGTTATATTCACAACATCCTTTATATTCCTTGCCAAAACTGCATCGGATTGAATACACACAGATCTTGTACACATTTTCCTCCAAATGAGAAAAACATATCCAAAGGCTTGAGTTGATTTTGAATAACATCCTGATATTGTATGGACCACAGATCATTTGAAACTTTTCAGACAGATTTGAAATTTGAGAAGATTTATTTTTTAGTAGATAACTTTCATATTAGAAGTGAAAATATTAAGTTCACTTTTTATAAATAAAAATTATTAAATTTAGCTTGAGGATCTAACATGCCCTTAAGTATTGATTTTACTATATATATATCAACAATAAAAAGTACCTGCTGACTAATTGTTAACAAGAGTTCATAGAAAAATTGTCAGTATGTCACTACTGAAGTAGATGTATAGCCTAAGTTTTAACTGATTGAAATCAGATTCAATATCCTATTACAAATAACAGTTAATAATACTGAATATTGTTGAGTCATTTTTCTGTCCATAAACAGTTTTATCAAACTGTTTTAAAAGTAGGAATCACCACTAATTTGCTAAAAAAGGGTATACTGTGATGAAAAAAGGCTCCAAACTTGATGAAAACAATCATCGTCTAAATGTTTATTATAAAAGAGGAAATACCAAAGTATTTTTTGATTATTTTGTTTACATTTTTTAATCCTTCCTAGAAAGTCAAAAATTTTAGTTAAAATTCTTGCTTTTTTTGAGTCAGCAAAAATGCCTTGAAATCGATGTCTGCCATTTTTGAGAAATTTGTAAACAAAAGTTAAATTCTCCATTTAAAAATCTTGTAAAAATCAATTATACCTTTTTCAAAAGTTATCAAAGGAAAATTAGAAAATTTAAAGTTTACTTAATGTAAATGGAAACAAACATTAGTTGAAAATAAAAAACATATCTTAACTTTAACCATGGTGATTTGTTTCGAGGTATGAATTGATAGTTACATCAATTAGACAGCTTATGTCAGGGGAATTTATCAGATGGAAGGATAGAAGTGACAATTTTTTTGAATTTTAAGTGAACCAATTTATTTAACTACACAGTAATTTTTAAAAATTAAATACTTTTAATAATCTAGTATTTTATTGATTTTTTTTGGTGGGGGGTTACTTTAGCTTAACATTTGAAGAGGATTTCTGGAAAAAATAAAATTTAAAATACTAACAATAAAATAAATTTAAAATTTCATAACTGAGAGCAAGATAAAATATGAGAAAGGTACCTAATTTTTATGTATAGCACTTATGAAATTTCATGGTATTATTTATTATTGATTTTTATATTATCTCAGTTCTGAAATCTGTTCATAACTGTAACAATAGATCCACTTAATAACAACTGCTGCAGGAACCCAGGTCGACCTGGTCAAGGAAAAAACACAGAGGAAATTTTTACGACCACCAGACAAGAATTTGAAAGGAACATCAAAGTAAAGCTCCCACATCAAGGAAAAAAATTCTTCAGCTGGTGTGATTGTTCTGTTCTTCGCTCTTACCACAAAACTTTGCTTCGAACATTGTACCTCTACTTTGAAATTTATTCAGAGAAGTACTTTTTCCCCCTTTTTTCATTTATTTTTATGTTGTTTACCTTTTCTGGGGACCTTATGCAGAATAGTGACTTTTAAGCAGATTTTACAGTGTTTATTTGTACATACACGTTATTGGCCATCATTTGGCACACAAAGCACTTAAATTTGTCTAAGTCTTTCATTTGTTGTAAGTTAATAAATCGTCAGCATTTTTTAAACTCGGCTCATGTCGTCTCTGTCTCATTGTCTTATAAATTAAAAACGTTACCTCAAATTGAACATTTGTTTGGACTATTTTTTTTTTCGTAATTTTTTTTAAAAAAATCTCTTAGAGAATTTTAAGGTAATTGTGTTTCGATTTTTTTACAAAAAAAAAAAAGAAATCAATTTATATTCAAAGACTTCTGCTTTTTTAATTAAATCACTAAGTCACGTTGTCAAATTTATCAAGTTTTCTTTCATAAATTAACTTGGGAGGGCAACAAATATATAAAAAAATTTAACATGACTAACATTTTCTAAAAAAAAAAAAAAACAATTCCTTTGTGAATAAGTTCTGAAAGTTTCATTAAAATCTGACATTTATTTGATTTTAAACCAAAATTTACAATGTGCAAAAACTTTAATAAAATAATCAAAAAATACTTTTTTCCTCTTAATAATAACAAACATTTTGACAATAAAATTTCACTTTTAAGTTTGGTCCTGTCACGGCCGCCATTAGCCGCTCCTTAGAAAAACAACCTTGCCCTTCACAACCCCTGATCACACAGAAGTCAAGCAACATGCGAGAAACTGGACGACTGGCTCAATATGGTTGAGTCCAAACCGTACCTTGTGACCATCGGATTGGGCAGTGTTTCTCAAACATTGAACATCATATCATGTGAAGTAATTTTTTTATCCACGGCTTTCTACTCCCTCCAGTTAGGGAGTACTTAAACAAACCGTTCCACATATTGTTAGCCCCTTTTTTCATCCAAACGCCCAAGCTGCTCGGCCTGGATCAAAGTGTGAGCTTCCGGTGTTTCGTCGAAAGAATACTCTCAGTCCGGCATGATCCCGTTTCCGCGGTTGATCCGCCCTGGAAGGTGTAACATTACTCTGACTCGGCCCTTTTTTAGGGATTTCGCCTACGTCAAGTACTACCCTTCAGCGCGATCCCGTTTCCGCGGCCCATCCGCCCTGAAGGGCATAACACTACTCTGACTCGGCCCCTGTTTAGGAACTCATCCTAAACGAATCTTCGTGCGTCTTTGACCAACCAGCTATTGCCAATTCTCTAATCTGGCAGTCGACCATTTACCGCCGCCAACCAACACTACACTTGTTTCGCCAATACTACTGAATCAACTTCCCCTGCAGGAAACCAATCATACCGGACCCGACACAAACATATTCCTCCAGAATACACTCTTGTACATTTTGGATAAATAAATTCGACGTTTATTGTTTCATAAACCTCTGCCTTTGTCCCCTCATGTCTTGGCTATTCACACCTTTCTTTGTAAATCTTGTGGGGGCGACATCCTTATCGACCCCGCAACAGGCCTTTTTTCATCATGCTATGCATTTTTTTTCGGCGAATTAGTAGTGATTCCTATTTAAAAGCATCTTTGCTTGCATATTACCAGGCAGCAAGCATGAAAATAACTGAATACTAAAGTTATAAAATATTACAAAAAAGGACTCCCTTTCTTCTTGAGCATCATGTAGCAAGTAAACTCCACGTTCGGTTAACAAATACTTAAATTTTAACCTGGACTTGAGATCGCTTCTTTATGACAGATAAGCAATATTTTATTTTTTAAATGACCGAAAAAGATGTCTGGAATTTTTATTTCCATTTTTTTACAAATTCACACTGGCCACAGAAGAAGATAAATTATTTCATTTTTAATTTTATGGAATAAATGTGTGCTTAAGGACAAAAACATTTAACACAAGCTAAATAAGGTAATAATTCAATATGGCATTCGAAAAAAAATTTCTGATGAACCAACAGAAAACTCTAGAATGGATAGATAGATAAATAAATTTGCAGAGATATACTGAATTACGGTTTTCTTTTTCAACATTTATATACCAAAACAATCACAATACGTAAAACTAACATGTGCATATTGTCGTACTGCAGACTTAACCGGGGAGACTTTTTTTCTCTCTCACTACTCTTTACCAGGTATAAATGTTTATTTCCCGAAGTGTAATCAAAGTACTTTAACAATAAAATACTCTTAAAAAAACGGGGGATTTTTCGCTCAAATCAAAGTTTAATATTTATGTACGATTTTTAATCTTATTTTTTTCTACCTCAAATTTTTATTTTTAAAAGTTTCAATGCAAACACAAAATATTTCAACTTTTAGGAATTTTGCGATAGAAAAAATATAAACTTAGTCCCTAACAATTGAAAAATAATTTACTTGCAATAGTATTTTTAAAAAGCGCAAGAATTGAACACGTCAAGTCATGTATGGAAGGAAAACAAACCTTTCTGAAGAAAACGTAAACAATTTCTTGTCTCTTGGTCCACTTGAAGGTTTATAACTTCTTGTTTCCCAATGAAGAAGAGTTACTCTCAACAAAAGTCAGTTGGAGTTACCTCCCTTCAATCCGCTCAACCTTTTTTCATAATATAATATCTTGTCTGTCGAATTAACCGCGGGTAATGAAAGAAGGCTGGCAGTGATTTTTCCCGAAGTTTGAAAAGTAATTAAAATGTTGGAATTGTATAAAAATAAATATAAAAATAATTTTTATAAAACATAATATTGAATTGCCCGAAAAACTATTTAAAAAAATTATGTTACTAACATGGTTTCTTTGAAAATGAAACCATCAAAATGAAGCTGGATACTATTTTTACATTACTATTTACTATCATCGTCATCTTTGTTGCCATATTTATCACAACGTTTCAGCCGTTGTACATTTTGGCCTTCTTCAGGTCGTTGGAATGTCGAACTGAACTTTATTTCGCTCGCTGGGGTAGACTGTTCTAGTTCCACGTGCCATGTCTAATGGATGTCAGTTATCTCCTGTTAATTCCCCCCTCCAAGTTCTCCACCCCCTTAACCAGGTGTTGAACTCACACTCTTTGGGTCCTGTCACTGGATCTAATGCCTTTATCCACTGTGCCATGTGTCCTTGAGGACATCTCTGTATGAATTTTGGGGTATTAAACCTAATGTCTTCAGCAAGCATTTTTTTTTATTGCAATTTTTGCTGTTATCATTGCATGTTTTTACCAAAGGTTCAGTTCAACATTCCAACCATCTGAAGAAGGCTGAAATATTGTGCTAAAAAGATGAGGATGATAGTCTGAACAATGTAAATAGTGTACATAATGCCTCACCTCAGAAATATATATAGATATTGAAGCTGGATAGTTTATAAAAAAAAAGAAAAACAGTAATGAAAACTGAATGAATAGGCTCCAAGAGGCTGATGTCATAAAAACTTGCCAACATGAAGCCAAACAGTTTATAAAAATCCACCAAAATTAAACCAGATGGTTTAAATATTCTGTGACAAGAGACTCAGTTTTGATGTTGTCAAACCAGCCAAATTTAAATTGCGCATTTTGATTGGATAGGGATTCTTGAGTTTTTAATCAATGGCACTAAAAACTATTCATCCGCCTAAGAACTTGAGTTTTAATTCGTTTGGAGTCACTTGTTAAGTGGGAAAATTTTTAAAATGAGAGGATTAGACCATGTCCAGGTGAGAAAGCTGTGATCTGTGACAAGAAATGTCTGTCACAGGCACACATAAGACCTGCTGCTGTAATTAGATTCAACCATCAGGGTGAGAAAAGCTGTAACCAAGGATGATAAAAAATTACTTCTGATACTACTATTACTATTGTTATTGAAGAAGGAGAACAACAATCCATAAAAAATTACAAGAATTCTCTTTACAAAAATGTCTTTTCTAAACCTTTGAGAGTTTGTCTCATATTTGAGGATGCCTGATCCAAAAATCTGACTATTTGTCAAAAGAATGTAGAAAAACAGCTTCATCTGAGGCAACACCACTTCGACCTTTTGAATTTGTGAACTTTTTGAAGTAAGTAAAATTCTTTTGTTGCTAAGAAATTAATTTATATCGTTGTATCCTATTGAAAGTACAATTCTTTAACTCTAATGTTTGTCCTCATTTTGACATCCTCAGCTCATATGACAAAAACAGACCACTTCTAGAATATCACCTAAAAATATCAGGTTCATAAAACACCTTTCTGATTAATCAGAAAAAAAGGCATATGGTTTTTGTAGTAGCCATTTTTGAACCACTAACTCACTATAAAACCAACACCAATTTCACACACAGAGGGAGATATGATCTGGCTGGCATTAGCAATCAAACACATGAGGCTACACAGCGATGTATTCAACCAGCAATGAAACCACTAGTAGCAGAGACTAACTCTTGACTGGATATGTGTTTTCACCCATGAATCTATTTCATTTGACTACATATGCATGTTGATTTTCTCCATGTGTCTGTCTCAACTACTACTTTGTTTCATACCCAGAACAAACTCCATCTCCCACAACTGATATAAGAACAAGCAAATGATCAAATCTAGTAGATCATGGGAAGTAAGATCTCTTTCATTTATCCCAACCATTTCTTACTTCTATTTGTTGTCACTTCCACTTTTTTCTTGTTAATAGTAAGGTAGCCATTAAAATATGAACTGCTGCTCTAAAAGTTATAATTCTTTTGTTGTTAAGGAAAAGAATTATTTTTCAGGAACTCACTCTCTCATTCTTTCATCTTATTTCTTATTTTTTAGATTCAAATAAAGTGCAACTACAGGATCACTTAATTTTCAAAATTTTAATAAGCTTACTCCCATTTATTTGATAGGCAAGACTATGCAGATTGTTAAAGGTAAAAAAAATTAATAATGAAGTCTTTTCTTAGCATGACAGTAACAGAAACTTCCTACTTTTTGTTGTGCATTGATTTATTCATTCAATGGTTAATAAACCAGTAATAAGGATTAACCTTACATGGTCTACCAAAATGTCCGTTAGGTGGTACTGTTTCAGGACTATAAAAGTTCTGACATAATCTTTCCCTTTTAACTCTAAAATGTGGTAGTTAAAAAAAAAAAAAAAAAAAAAAAAAAAAACTTATTCAGTTTTCCCTTGTAGGGTGACTTAAGTCACAGCCACATTTCCCACATGCACACAGTCAAAAAACACATACACACACTAAAGATAACCCTATAAATACTTTTTCTCACTCTTCAACAATACATGTGAACACTAATATATTTTTTCTCTTTTGTTTAATCATTTATTAGTCATATGAAAATATCTGTGTTGAAATTTATCCCTTTGAAAATGCTGATGTCAATTTTTCTGAAAGTTTTCAATTTTATGCTATCACATATAGAGACCCATGCATTCATTCTACATTCCATTCCATTTTACCCCTATAAGTGATGATAACCCATCATTTACAATGTGAAAATTTTGGTCATTATTGTTTTCAGTTAAACTAGTAGGGACCACAGCACTAATCAAAACCTTTACTTGAATAGAGGGTTACCAAACTTACAAAACAAATACGGGGCCCATTGTGGTATTCAGATTTATTGTAATTTCTTTTAAATTTTTCATATACACTATCATATTTCACCTCAATTTATATATGTATATATTGGTACCACCACGGGCTAATTAAAAGAAACCAAAAAAAAAAAATTTTAATAATTTAAATGTTTTCCTTGAAGTTAAATTTTGGTTTTATTTCAAAGAAAGCTGGTCCTTAAAAAAAAGAAAAATAAATTTGCATATGTGGATAAAGTTTTAAAACATTGGCACAGCCACTTACAGAACCTCTATTATAGACAAAAAAAATGGAAACAAATTTAAAAATCTAAATATTCAATATTTGTCCTTGAGATACAATTAAAACAGTTGGTGGGAGTAGCCCATCTAAGAGAAGGAAAACTCTGATTTCAAACCTCCACTGCTTTCACTCATGGGAACGGCTTATCTGAGGATAAAATCTGAAGTCAAAGTCCCAAAGGTAGTCTGACATTACACCCAACCTTGTTGTCACCTCCTGCAGTAACATTAGTATTACAATAGTAATGAATTTGACAAACATTACAATAAGGCTAAGTTATACAGGACATCATTAACTGAAAATGTTCTTGGATTAAATTAGATAAATTTACCTTTCCATCAAGAATAATTAACAAAGGCTATGATCAATCACTGACTTAGGACAACATGAAAGCACAGTTGAAAAAGATTCATGCATCTGATAACCTTTTCAATCTCAATGAACATGAAGGTTGAAGAGGGCATTCACTTTAGGAAGTCAGAAATTTTATAAGGCTATAGCTACCCCAAATTTAGAGGTGGTTATTATTATACTAATAGATTTACTGATGATCATGGCTACAAGAGATTATATCATGATAGTGTTAACTTAAGACCTAAACAGAAGAGTTAACAATCACTATGAGTATTGGAATAAATTGAGATGGCAGTATTTAACTATTGGGTTAACAAATAACCCAAGAGTAAAAGAAAACTAAACAGAAGACATTTTAACATGAACTTGAAGAATCACAAGAAACATAATACTTTTTCAATCTGAATTTTATGAGCCACATCTAATTAAGTCAATGAATTATGGTGTTTTACATTGTGATGCTAGTGAAACAGTGTAGTAAAATTTGGTTTAATGACTACTTTAACTATTTAGACAATGAAGAAAAAAATAAAGTTATGTATAAACAATGCAAAAATGTATTCAGATTTGGAGCCAGGAAATACATGACATTTTTTATGTGAAAAGTGACATGTCATTGTTTTTATCTGAACAACAAATGAAGCTGGGATGGAATTGAAGATAATTCAGCTCAAATATTTGGAAAGAGCTTCAACCTACATGTAGAACAATTTAGGCATTATAATTTGCCACTAATGAAATCACAGCATGAAGTGGTTTAGAGTGATCCTTTTGTTAAAGTGACTCTCTTGTAATAAACACTTAGTGTTAAATAAAAACACTTAAGTTACATTGTCAATTTACTCCTCCTGAAAAATTAAGTTACTAAAATATGCCAACAGTGATGATTTGGAACTTCATGCTGAAATCCTAATAATATCAAAGAACTGCTCTAGCATGGGTGATAGTTGGTTTACTAATACAATTGCCTTTTGCAAATGTGTAGTTATGGTTTTCAGACAATTTAGTGATGTCTATATTCTTCACTTTTCTCCACTCAAAAACCAAAGTTGTAATTGAATCATTACAAGGAAGAGAAAGACCTAAACGCAAAAGTATTTCTGATAAAAACAGTACTTTAAAAAGAACACATGTTCAATACAAATTTCATATAAAAATAATTTCTAAATATGGTATATATTCAGGCAAATTGGCAAATGAGTGAAACACTGAAAGTGAAGTGAAAGAAAGACGTGTGATTCTGACAGTGATGTTGAAGAATAGAGAAAATATAATAACGATACTACTATTACTACCACTACTACTACAGA